ACCTACTTTTTTCACAGTGTTGAAATGAGTTCAAAACTTGTATGTACATTGTCCGTGCAATTTGCTCAGTCTACGGTAATTGAGGCGTCGTGACAGTGTGGCTTGGCGTGGTTGTGCCGCTAGAGCGTGCGTGGACTTGCAGTTCACGACGGTGGCAGGTGCCGTGCCAGTAACGCGAGCACAGCTGTGCAGCTGCCGGATCGCGCAGCTGTGACCACCTGCAGCTGGCGCCCCTTGGGGGCGCGTTCGGGCCCGGGCGGGGCCAGCTAGGCGCGCGCCCCGCCCGCCCGGGGATCTGGATCAGATGCGCCCAAAGACAATAGGCCGTGTGGCGGTGTTCAGAGTGCGAAGGAGAAATGAATAGACGGAAGTGCAGGAGGCCCCACCCCACCCCTGCGCCTCGCCCCGCGCCACGCCCTCGGCGCGTGCCCGCAGCAGGGCGTCCGCGCCGCGCAGCCGCGCCCTCCGCTGGGCACTGCCCGCCCGCTCCCGATATTTCTCCGTCTTGATATTTCGGGTAGTCATTAGTCGAGCCCGGCTGATCTCTGTTATTTCTCGAAGCTTCTCCTCCACGAACACGGTCGGCCCGACCAGGAGGACACGGCATTCCCCGGGCCGAGCTTGTAAGAGCGACACGCGTGTTCTGGTTCGGTCCCATTCATCCTCGGCACCCGGCGTGGCGTGGCGTGGCGTGGCGTGGCGTGGCGTGGCGTGGCGTGTTGTCGCTCACTATGTACCTCGATCCGTCCGCTCGATTGCTGCAGCCGCAGTGGCGCAGCCTGCCGCGCGCGCCTCGCCACAGGGCGATGGCGATGTTGATCTTTTCTTTTAGCGCAGGTGGCTGCTGCTGCTGCCGCTGACGCTCGGCTCTCGGAATGGCTTCATCTTTACGGCGCGCTCCGCAACCGGACGGACGGACGGACGGACGGACACTCTCGGCTGACGCAGCCCTCCTGAGCTGCTGCTGCTGCCCTTCGCTGTAAGTGCGCGGGGCGCGGAAGTGACATCACATCCCCGGGTCGGGAGCGCTGTGTCGGCGGCGTACGCTCATGAGCCGCCCGCAGCGTCACGCTCTGCACTGTGAGCTGTGAGCGGTGAGCGGGGCGGTGAGGAGCGGGACCCCTCACCCTTTGCGCAGCGTGTCAATGGTCGTGGGAGTGGCCCCAGTGGCCCCAGTGGCCCCCGCGCGCCGAGCAGCCCCTCGTTTCCCAGATGACAATGGCGCGCCCCTCGCAGTCCTCCAGATTGTGCGTCCCGATAGCCTGATTGCCGCCCCGGCCGCGGCCCGCCCTCCTCCCGGCGCGCCCCGCACGACGACGCCGGTAAACGCCGCGGCTCACTCGCTCTGATCCTGGGGCCAGATCCGCCTCGCTGCCGACTCTTGTGTGCACTTGTGCGCGGATGTGTGCGGCTGCCTCAGACCCGAGCCGCGTGCGCCTATAAAGGAAATATCAAGCCATAGCAAAGTGAAATTTCGACGGCGTCATATCCTCCTCAGGTGCGCGGTCCGGGGCCCGAGGCGGGGGGGCGGCCCTAACCAACCAACTGGCAGAGCAGACCGCCCGAACCGCTCGGGTCTGTCCGCCCCCCGGGTCCCCTCCCGGTCCCGACAGCGTCTTTCACAATAGTCATTCCCCCTGAGAGAAAGGTAGTGAGTGGACCGGCGCGCCGTGTGCCTTACCGCCTCACCTCGCGCACCGCGTCCACCCACCCGGCGCAGGCGCGGCGCAGGCCCGGCGCAGCCAGTGTTGCCACATGCCGATCTGATACCCCGCCCCCCCCCCCGCGTCTTGCCATTTGCCTCGGCTAGTTACCTTAATCAACATTTTTATTTGCCCCCACTTTGTCTGATTGGCGCATTGACGCCGAATTGGCGCTGCTGCTGCTGTTGTCGGCTCTCTGGTCGCAATTAAGTCGTTCGCCCCCTTCTTCTCCCCCTCCCTTTTTTATTTTCCTCGGTGTTGTTTTTACACTGAATGTCCCGGGGGAGCAGTGACGGAGAGAGAGGGGGGGGGGGGTATCTAATTGAACAGGTCCCCCGTAACTCCTCTCCTTTCGCCACGGCGCTTTGCGGGGCTCCCGTCAACATGACCCCGCGTCCCCGCGACAACACACTCGGAGCCGCGCTCAAATAATGCGTTCCCGGCGAGAGTTCCTGCGGCGCACGATTTGCACAGGGACGTTCGCCTGCTTTATGCAAATAGTTGAGCCGTGGCCCCGGGACGCCCCGCGGAGCAGCCCCGCCGGCCGCAGCGGCAGCGCAGCGCGGCTCCCGTGTTTGGCCCATTCTATTTGAGGTAAACTACAAACTGACTACGACGCTGTCACGCTACCGCTACTTGGCCCCCGGACGGCGGCCCCCTTTCTTTTCCTGGGCCCGCCCCTTCAGCGATGGCATCGGTTAGGACGCTATTGTGGCCCGGCAGTCAGGCGGCACAGGTCCGCGTGGCGTGGCGAAGCGTGGCGAGGCGGGGCGGGACGGGGCGGGGCGCGGCGGGCTGCCAGGGCCAAAGGCGTAGGCTGGACGGGGCGGTAAACGCCTCGCATAGACGTCGAGTAGAGCGATGGTACGTTTCTTTTTCCGAAATGGTGCGGAGCGTCACAAACCTGCAATGCCGTGCGAAGTGGCGGCGCGTGGGCGAGGGTGGGGAAGTCCCACTTTGTCCGTCCAGGCAACGCGGTGGTGGCCAGGTCACTAACTTGATTAGCTTGAAGAAACACTGTTTTTGTGTACCCTCTGTTCCAGGTGACTGACAACGCACGTGGTATCCGCAGTTTGGCTGTACCACGTGCACATGTGTAGGAGTATTGCCTTTTCATCTTTAACCTCAAAATATGGATGTGGACATTAGCCACCAGGTAACAGATGGTTGCCCAGCCCAGCCGCCCGTACCCCTACATGCCACGGCACACTACCACTTCAATATTCGCGGCTTGGCTACCCCACTGACCAGCGAGCTGATTGTCTCGGGTCGGCAGGCGATGTGCAATGTGTTCCTTTTACGCCAGGGGTCTCAGACTGTGACGTCACGCGGGCCGCACGAGTCGGACCTCTCACTCGCACTCACTGCGATCACATAGCTCCATCTCTCTCCAGTGCGGCCCTTGCGGCCCGCGGCCCGCGTGTCTGAGCCCCCTGTTTTACGCTAACCCACCCGGATTTAACTTGCAGTGTAAAGCTCCGCTCCGCCTGCTTGCCGAGACACGCTCCAGTGGGAACAGTAGCTCGGCCCGTGTTGTCTACCAGGGTGGCCTGCTGCCGCCCGCCCCACCCCGCTCCGCCCCTCGGCCCCGCACGTCATGCGACCGCTGTACTTAGGCCATTTCTCCGCGGCAGAAACCGCACGATAATTATTATCACTTTGTGTCGTCCCCTCAGCTCCGTTGTGTTTGTCGCGGTGCACGACACGCGGGGTGGGGGGTGAGGTGGGGTGAGGTGGGGCGTGGCGGGCTCACGACGCGGGGCACTCCTGCGGCTGGAGTCAGAGATACCTTGGTGCCCGCGGCACCGCCCGCTGCCGTTGCGTCCGCGTCAACTGTTTGGTTTGTCCGTGCAGCCGCCCGGTAGTGGCGCGGGGGGTAGAGCCGGCTGCAGGACGCGTGGAGTACCGCCGCGACGCTCGGCCCACGGCGCCGGGCCGACGCCAGCCGCGGGGACGCTCTGTCGGCGGCGAGTGGAACTGGAGCAGGGCGGGGTGGGGCGCGCGTTGCAGCACTTGTCGAGGGTATTGCCGCAGCAATCTGTCAAACGCCGGCTAATGCTAATCGGCGGCGATGCGGGTGGAGCGTGGCGTGGCGCGGCGCGGCGTCGGCGTCCCTGTGCGAATGAGATGCCTTGCACCACGTCGAACAATGAGGTGGCCCGGGCGGGATCAAGGAGACACGCGGTGACTTTCCCTCGTCAAGTCGTTGAGTCACGACAGCGACGACGGGGCGTCTTTTGACGTGACGCGCACGCCAGGGAAACGCAACAAGCTTTTCTTGCTTGGCGCGGCGTGAGAAAGAAAGGGAAAATTGTTGCAGTGCCTAGTTCCTTTCCAGTGTGCGTGGCGATAATCTAATTGTTATCTTGCAGTGTAGCGTTTAGAAGTCGTTCCCCGGACCAGTCGACTGATTTGAGGCGCCACTGACGGCCCTTGCCCGGTGTCTTCGAGCCCGACGGGCCGCCGCTGTCATCCTCTCCATAGAACTCTCTGGAGGTGTCGGCGGTGCGCGGCCAGCTGTACGGGAGCCCCGAGGCGGCTATGGTGGCTATGGACATGTCGAAAGGCACCGCGGACGCCCGTCAGCGATACGGACTGGAACACGCCGGCCGAACGGGCGCACGACGACGATGGCTTCTGCTGGCAGAACGCGCCCGCGCGGCGCGCAGCCCCCAGGCTACCCGCGCACGATGGGTTGCATACGATCCAGGCGGCTCCGCTCCAACAGCGGGACTTGCACGATCCTGGACGCCGAATACTATAATACACCTCTCCATTACAGGCCATGTGGTCTGCGTCCCTGGACTGAAGAGCGAGGCCTTTACTCTTCTGCATGTGCATGCCGGTGACGGGGGTGCCCTACATGCTCTCCGTGCAAACTCTTAACACTAACACGGTGCCGTTGCTGTTGACAGGTGATGGGCCCAGGGCGTCGAGTGGGTCGGAGGTGACCGGCTGCAGCTCTCTGCTAACGGGGCTGTGCCGCACGGAGGACTTGAAGAGCGAGGGCGAGGACCCAGAGGAGAGGGGAGAGCCTCTGGGGCTGGTTGTCAGCGGCTGCTACTCTCTCCGCGATCACGGCCCGCGTGAGGTCCATGACGACAGCGAGGACCTTGACGAAGAGGATGTCCTTCGTGGCCGTGCGTCGAGACAGCCGCGCCCGGCGGTAGGCGAGGACGCCCCAGAGGACAGTAGAGGCCGTGACGAAGCAGAAGCCAAGTGTGGCCCTAACTGTAAACCGGGTGTCTGGTGTGAGGACGGTGTCGAGTCTGAAGGGACGCCTCAGAACGGCGATGAGAGGGACAAAGGGTCGGGGACATCCCACAAGGAGACGTGTCGTGTGGAATGTCCCGGTGCTGGCCTTCAAAACCATCCCCTCGAGCACGTGGATTACGGTTTGAAGTGTTCATTCTGCGGTCTAACCTGCCATTTTAAATCAAACCTCGTGAGGCACATGCGAACGCACACCGGCGAGAAACCATACCAGTGTGATAATTGTACTCAACGATTTGCGCAAAAGAGTCATCTTGTTCGCCACATGCGAAAGCACACCGGTGAGAAACCATACATGTGTGATATCTGTAAGGAGCTCTTTGGCCAAAAGACTGATCTTGTTCGTCACATGCGAAGGCACACCGGTGAGAAACCTTACCAGTGTGAGATCTGTAAGGAGCGATTTGCCAGAAAGAGTTCCCTGGTTCTGCACATGCGAACACACATTGGTGATAAATCATTTAAGTGTGACATCTGCAAAAAATGTTTTACAAGAAAACATCATCTAAAAAACCACATCAGGTCTCACATCGTGTGAAATCGCAAAAAATAATCGGTGGTACAAAAGTAATCTAACAACATCCTCCTAAGAATCACCCGGTCTCACACCGTTTGACCTAACCTAACCTGCCGTTTTAAATCTTATCTCGTGACCGCTCGTGACGCATCTGCATTCGCACACTGGTGAGAAACCATTTTGGTGTAATATTTGTGAAGAGCGATTTGCTGTAAAATCTACTACAGGTGTGTGCTCATGCGATTACAACCGGCGAACAACCATACCAGTGGTCCATCTGTAAGGGAGCGATTTACCCAAAAGAGTACTGTAGATCGCCACATGGGAACACACCGGCGAGAAACCATATAGGTTTGACATCTACAATAAACTATTTACAAATAAACCTAGGCTTAGAGCTCACGTCAGTGCTCACATCATATGACATTACTGAAGACTTGTTTGCACATAGTTTTTTCACAGCTAGGGAGCATGTGTGTATTCGTATAATGTTTGCAGTACCGGGATCTCATCTATGATTTGATATTCCTTTTACAAAATATTTTGTACGCACTTGAAATTGTTTTTTTTATCTTTTAGCTGAGACAATTATTTTTTGAGAAACCACCTTAACCGCTGCTAGAGAGCAGCACTACTTTGCTAACTCTGTGACTAGCTCGCCAAATGCTCGTCACTCGTTCGTTAGGCCCCTGGTTGTACTTGTTTGCTCAATTCGCTATCGTTTGTGACTCGTTCGTACACGATGAAAGCTCGTGCTTGCTGCAGGAGTCGGCCGCCGCGGTCCAGAGCGTTGGCGGGCGACGCCTTTCGCTGTGCGGCCGCTGCCTTGCGCTTGACGCGCAGCTGTCGGCGGTGCGCGGCCAGCTCCAACAGGAACACGAGCACGGAGGCGGCCATGGTGGCTATGAACATGTAGAAGGCGCCGCGGACGTCCGTCAGGGACACGGACTGGAACACGCCGGCCGAGCTGACGCACGCCGGCTTCTGGCGGACGAACCTGCGCAGCATACGGTGCCAGATGCCGCGTTCGGCAAGGCGTCGCATCCTGGGGAAGAATGTTGAAATAGCGATAACATTCTGGGCGTGTACTCGGACCTGTACGTCGTCAGTACAGCGTACTTGTGTTTATAAAGCTCACATGTTACGACACCGTCGCTGCGCTGTCCGACTCACATAATTTTGTATGCGTCCACGTTGTGGGATCCGCGAGTGATGGCGAAGTGAGGGTTTTTTACGCGCAGAAAGTCGTGGCCAATATCCACCAGCCCGCACTTCTCGTGCTCCTGCCACGTGCTGCTGATTTCGGCGTAGAGGTGATTCTCGATTCCGAAGAAGCCGAAGTACTCATTGCGCACCTTGCGCACACCCTCGCTCAGGGTGTACATGTGCTTCTTCTTGCCACCCCCCATCATCTTCTCCAGATAAACGCGCTTGCGCACCGGGTCGTCCTCTTGCTGCAACAGACACCACTCATTATACAAAACTTCCCATTTCTGCCCCATCACATACTGTAGTGGCACGGCCATCTATACGCTGGCATTTGGCAGAAATACTCCGGGTAAATGAATAACAAGGAAATATCGAAAATACGAACTTGCGAATAAGACGGCGTGCACAAATTACGTTATCGATTTTCGGGGCAACCCCGTCCCCGTCCCTGTCATCGAGTGTCACTTTTCCCTCGAAATTTCAGAATCGCTCAATGACATGATTGAGCGAAAGTTCTGACCACCTAAACGTTTACACAGTTTTTAACAATGCTAGGATTTACACTTAAAGGAAAAGTACAAACGAACTACATACAAGACGAATTTTGTGATCAGAGCGAGGCGAGGAACGACGGGCTCGGCGGGGGG